TATTTTTTCAGTACAGGTAGGTGCAGTTTCTCTGTAGACTTGTTTTAGCCAGAAATACTCAAGAAACAGATTGTCTCCCTTCTCCCCCAGTCCCACTCCCCTCCCTTCCCCGCTGCCTCCTGTAGGATTACAGCCTGCAGCCCTCTATCCAGCTGCTGTCATCCACTGTTCTAGGACCACCAGGCCAACCCTAACCGTAACAGTAACCTCCTCCCTCCCACCCCACCCCTGCCATATTCCCAGAGTCACAGCCACAGTCCCTGCAGTGAAGGTGATGAACTCCATTCTGCTTTTACTGTCTATCTGCATTGTCATGGTGTACTCAGCACCTAGTGCAGTTCTCTAAAATAGTTCCTACAGGACATGAAGCAACGGCTTCTGATTGCTGCAAAGTAGGTTTGATTAGATCTCAGGAAACACTTCCGTAGTATTAGAGCAGTGAGGCAGTGACATATGGGAGTGGTGGAATCTCCTTCCCTGGAGGTTTTCAAGAGGAGGATGGATAAGGAGTGGACTTGGTGCACTCCTGCATTTGTGCAGGGGGTTGGACCAGATGACCCTTGAAGTACCTTCTGCCATTTGATTCTATAAGGCTGGAACTCAAGCCTGAAGCCTAACGTCTCTGCCCCACAGAGGGTTTTTGAGAAATGCCATAAGGGCCATTTGAGTGGTTCTGAGTTGGGAGAGAGTGATAGAGAATGTGTACCAAGTGCTTAAAATGGGCCAGTGTAGCAGGGATCTTGGTGCTCCTGCTACTTTAAGGGAAGACAGGCGAGGCAGAGAACAGTCAAAGGAGCCACAGCCCAGAAGGGGCTGGACTTGCAGGATATAAGCCCAGGGCCTTAGCTGGGCAAGCAGTCTGACCTGGAAGCCATGGGGAGAAGAGCTCCTGAGCAGAAAGGCTGCAGGAAGGCTCCTGACTAACACCTGAGCTGAGACAGGCAAGACCAGTGGTTTAGGGATTGAGACTGTAAGGATGAGGTCTCAACTGACTCAGGAGCAGAGCCAGGGCCCGAGGGATAGGGGCCAAGGCTGAGGAGCAGGGCCACGGCCAGAGTGGGGTGATAACTGAGGTTGAGGACCTGTAGCCCATGAGGGGTGAGAACTGGGGCCTGTGAGGGGCAGAGTCTGTTGGAAGTAATGAGGCATGAGCCCAAGAGGGGTTGAGAATGTAGGTCGGGGCCCTGGAGGGGCCGGGAAGGAGTTGGAGGTGCAGTTAAAGGGGCAGAGAATCCAGGCCTGAGCCCTGGAGGGGCTGGGAAGGTCAAAGGCACTGGGGCTAGAGGCTCCAACAGTGGTGGAGACTTCCAGATTTAGGGGCCCATATTTTGACCAAGTTGACACTGGGCCTGAAAGCCCATGATTTAACACTGATGATAAGCCAGTGATTGATAACACCTATGAGGCTTGGGGCATGGCTAGAAAGCCATGTAATTAGCCCTTGAGGCAGTGAATAGTGACACTTGTGTTCATGAGTATGAGATCTCACACAGGGAGCCCTGCCATAACCTCCCTTTTTCCTAAAAGTGTCATTACATCAAGGCATGGCAGGAGAGTTGAAGGGGAGATACCCCTTGTTACCTTTATTTTCTTTGGGCAAAGAGGGTGCACAGAGGTGTCATGGTCACCTTTGGGGTGAGACTGTTACAACCAGGCAATGTTTGGACTCATGGAGTGTGCAACCCCCAATGAGAAATCATTCTGCAACTTTCCCTAGCCTTATTCTTTCCTGTGCTGGCAAGGCAGTGTTGGTTATCTCTGTTCCCATCTCACAGTGTTAGCACAGGTATTATATTGGATATTTTGCTTAACGTTCTGGTTCCTGGAGGCAAGGGATTGTGTACACACACCCACTTTTTTGCGCTCCTGATTACGGAGTGCTAAGGCTTGAAATGGTAGCTCAAGAGCAATTGGAAAGTTCAAAACCCAGAAAGCACGTGAATACATTACTACATGTAAATCGTCTTGTGACTTTGGAATGCCTGGAGCTGAACTGCTAAAAATGTGTGACCTGGTGGTCTGAAATACAAATTCTTACGATTTTTATTGACTAGTGATTCAAAAGTGAGTTGCCCAGTTTAGCAAATGATAACGAGGCTCTTTCTTCCTGTATCTGTGCTTGGCATCACTTCCTTCCAGGAGATTCAGTGCTTCCAGTGCTATGTAGTAATCTCTTTGAACCTGGACACAACTATCCTAGTTCACCAGGTAACAGCATTTTCGTTCCTTTTTACAATTAGAGTAAGAGACCTCTTCCCAGGCACAGAGATTGACAGGTATGCCCAGTTCGTCAGTGACTCTCTGAAGAGAACCAAAACCAGAGAGTTTGTGCCTTCCCAGGAGGAAATACAGGCGCTCATCACTCGTGAGGAAATGACAACAACAGTGTACTGCCACGGTGGTGGGTCCTGTAAAATCACCATCAACTCCCACACCAGTGCTGGAGAGGTAATGTGATACCTGTGGTAAATGGGTGCAAGGATGCTACAATGTGTCTGGACTAGAGGCCTTGTGGGGATGAGTCCTTCCTATCATTCATTCCCATTCTCAGCCCCTCTTACCTGGCTAGTTTTTTTTAAGCTGCCATTTCCTTTATACCCCAGAACCTCAAGGGAAAGGTACTTGGCTCCCCACAGACCCAGAACTATCTGAGGCTCTGTTCTGGATCACAGAATATTGCCCGAAGGCCACGTTGCAAAACCTCAACAGTGGTAAATTGCAGCAAAGGAGACTCAGATTGATTGGATTATAGGAAGAAGTTTCTTATTCTGAGGGCGGTTTAACACTGGAACAGATGCCTGGAGAGGTTGTGAAATCACCGCCACCAGAAGTTTTTACATTTGTCACATTATACAAGTCTGTGTCTGGGGCGGTTTAGACAGAGATGTTCTTGCCTTGAGGAAGGCGCTGTGCTAGATGATCCCTAAGAACCTTTCCAGTCCAACGTTTCTATGATGCTATCATTCTGCATGGAAGTCTTGGCTCCTTCTCTCACAATTGCCCCTGACTGGCAGTATGAAGGAAATCCAGGGCCTATTACCCTCCTTTCAGGCCATCAGTATGGCACACAGCAGGACGGTCAAGTTTTAGCAAGGGGAGACTGGCATATAGAATTCTCAGGGCCAGTAAGGGCTGTCCATTTTGGCAGGTGTCACAAATTAGCCCTGTGCCTTCCTTGAGTGCCACTCCAGTCCCCTTCCCCTGACCAATCTGTGATTCTGCTTTTTGCCCAGTCTGCTTCCTGTCCCCCCTGAGCTATCACAGGACACACACACACAATGCGTCTGTCACAGGTTGGCCACCTCTGCTCTGGGCCATGTTTTTGTTCTGTTATATGATAGCACCTTTGTGCACAAGGATGCTACCAGTCCTCAATTGTAGGCATTCCATATCCAGTTGTGTGCAGCGGCACAGGTAGAAAAACAGATAGTGAACCTTAACTGCAAATTTCCTGACTTTTGCCATTGTCCACCTGGGGTGTTCTGTTGATGATTTTCTTTGAAGGGAGATTTTGAGTCCTGCTTCTCTCAAAGTGTGGGGGTAGGATGGGGAACATGTTCCTGTATCTGGCAGGAGCCTGTGACACATGGCTGTGGTGGAGGGACTATGTGGTAACCACACTCATGCCCTTTACACCTTTTACCCATCACACAACAAGCTATACCAGAGAGAAGTTCAAGGAAAGCACAGGGCTTGGATCCCTCTAGTCCCTTGTTCCCTGTCCCTGACTTGCCATTTGCAAACTTTCTGTTTCCTGCTGGGATGAGCAATTTGTCTTGAGAAGTCTTTCCCCGGCCCTCTCAGGATGCCATTGTTCCATGCCAGGGTTGGTGGGGCAGGAGGGTGAGCACTGAACACAGCCTTAAGAGACACAAGGTCCATTCCTGGCTTAGCCACAGACTGTGTGACCTTGCTCAAAATCATTTAACCAGCTGTCTTGGTCGTCACTTGAGTGTAAGCAGGTAGTAGCTGTTCCTTACCACCTGGAAATGTGCTGTGAGTGTTTCTGGAGACTCTTAAAAGAGCCAGACTTTGGGACCATTGCTAAGGAAGCAGCCATGAAGCTCCTGTACCGTCACAGGGATGATTGCCTGTGTTTGGAGTTCCCACAGGAGGAAATGGCTTTGGGGCCCCCTTTCTGGTTATAAGAACTGACTCCTGATTGCACCCAATGTTCCATGGTGTCCGAGCATCTGACCTGTCTCCCTACAGGTGGTTGAAAAGCTGATCCGAGGGCTAGCCATGGAGGACAGCCGCAACATGTTTGCCCTCTTTGAATGCAACCAGCGTGTGGCCAGGGCCATCGAGAGCCGGGTCACTGTGGCCGATGTCCTAGCCAAGTTTGAACGGTAGGCAACTTGTTGGCTAAATGGGTGTGAAGACAGCTCTGAAATGTCCTGGTATGCTTGATGACTAAGCCCTTACACTGCTTGGTGGCCAGTATCACTGGTTCACAGCAAATGCCTCTAGATGCTGCAACCTCTGGGCTCCTGTAAGGCCTAGTCCTTGGAAAGTTGCGTGTAATAAATTGTGCACACACCTTTAGGCTGCAGCAATAAAGGAGGAGTCCTTATAGGTATTCTCAGGAAAGAAATGAGTCAAAACTACAGGGATCAAACCTTGAAGGATACAAGCCAAAAGCTCAGAGCAATCTCTGACTGTCGCCAGAAAGTCCAGGCCTATCTCTGTCCAAGCTTGCTTTGTCGCTTAGTTGTAATATAGGCCTTAGTCTAGCTCAGCATGTCACCTAGTTGTCTTATTGAAGGGAGAGCATGGGCGACTGGTGCAGCCTTAGTTAGGGGGGCACATGCCCCCCCAACCAGTCCTGCTGACTGGGGGGGTCCCCCACAGCCAGTCCTGTCGACTGGCGGGGGGGTCCCCCCTGTGGCTGATCTTGCTTCCAGGAGTGGCTGCAGCCACTTCTGGGAGCAGCAATCGGCCAGCACTTGCAGGGGGAGCATTGGCTCTCCCACCTGCCTCCCCTGCCTATCGCCTAAATGGTGAGTGTGGCCAGTCAGGGGGTGCACGTGTACCCCCTACGCATCGCCACTGGGGGCGAGCCTGCCTTTTAGATTAATTGCCTTAATTGAGCTGCTGGTCCCATATCCTATCCCATCCAATCCAGCTTCTTCTACCACATTTTATCACCACAGTGTCTGCAAGTATTTGTAAGCAATGCCACTAGCATCTGTCAGTGCTTGTTTTCTCATCCTCTTGCTCTTTGGAGAGAGGTGAGTTTCATCCTAGAATGCTGCAGGCCTGAGGGTGGTGTCTTTGTCTTGTGTAACAAGTTTGTGGGCCAACTGCTGAGGAAGTGCTGACTCCCCAGCATGGGAATTGGAGGCCTGCAGATGGGAGTTTCTGGTGGCCACAGGACAAACATGGCTCAGAGCGAGGAGGTTGGAGGTTGGGCCGATCCAAGGGAAGATCTGCTTAAAGCTTTAATTCAATGGAGAATCAATGCAGGGATGTGGAGCAACGAGGCAGAGTGTCCTTGTTGCCTCTGGTGCTTTGAAAGGAGCGGTGCGTTCTGAAACTTCAGGTTTTGTTCCCAGGTATGGAGACCTGCAGTAAGGATCAGTCAGACCTGGAGGTCAGGAATGCCAGGGTCGTCACAGGGAAGTAAGAGTGCAGTAGTGCTGAAAGCACCTCTGTGTGCTTCCAGCAGACAAGTACATTATAGTAGCAACTCATGTCCACTGGCTCAGATGGGATTGAGGAACTACTGAGCCTGGTTCTGCCCCTGACATCTGGGTTCATCTTACTGTCTTGATTGCTCTGTCTGTGAAATATTGATACTGGTCCTGACATCTCATCGCTGGAGAAGCAGAAAGGATGGACAAATTAATTAGTAAGTGTGGACCCTGTAGTTAGAAGTGCCCAAGACACAGGAGGAGGTCTGGTCCTTTTCCAGAGCATCTGATAATTTAAAAAAGTAGGGACCAACAACAGCAGTGTGAGCTGCAAATTGAAGTGTCTACTGATGGTGTGTTGTCATCTGGAGAAATCAAGTGAGCGCTGGCATGACTGGAAGGGTTAACATTTGCGAAGAGATAACATGAGAAGCTGTCTGAACACAAAGTCTTGTTCTGGTTACTGCAGAGCAGGCATGTGCAGTCACGTGCACTTGCAGTCATCCTTGACCATTCAGACACCATAAGCTGCACGCGAATATTGTACTCGCAGATGCACCTGGAACGTATGTCCCTCCTTATAGCCAGAGTTAATAAATCATCCTTGATTTCCATCTCAGGAGAGAGGGCAAGGACTTGAGCATGCATCAAAACGAAGTGGACATCTTACCTCCTTGTGGTGGTCTTTTCAGGACAGGAAAAGGCCTGTAATTAGAAAAATGGTATGAAGGAAACTGGCATTGCCATTGTCTGTCCTGTCCCAGTTCTGCAGATAAACTGGACTCTGGTCTCTAAAGCTGTCAAATGAGCACCTCATGTTAGAATAAACTAGTCTTGAGGCAATAATCCAAAGACTTGGGAATGTTCTGTGCTCTGGCTCCACCTCCCACCTCATGCTTCTTACCAGAACCCTTGTCCTGGTGGATTTCTGATTCTTTTGTTTTCATTATTTCACATGTGGATGGGGAGAGAGCTGCAGGCACTGGGAGGGGTGGTCTCTGTGACATGCAGACTTGAGAAGCTGTGTGTGTTCCCCTGTTTCAGAAGCCAGCAGTGCTCTTGCATTGTACAGTATGATTGAGTAAACCCCATTTGCAATAAGCTTACCAGTTTCTTTCTCTCTTTCACCTACTTTACAGACTTGCTGGCTCTGAGGAAGAGGAGGAAGAAGGACACTGGCAGCTGTATTTTAAACTCTACTGCTTCCTGGATATTGAAAAGGTCCCCAAGGATGGAATGGAATTTGCTTTCATGTTTGAGCAGGTATGTAAGGCATGGGGGAATGGAGAGATTGTGGGGGGCAGTGTTGGTAAGCAGCGGTGTGTACAGACAGGGTAATTTAGCTTCATGGGCCAGGTCAAGGAACAGAGTTTTGCTGCAGAGGTGCTGAAGATTTCTTCTGGGAAAAAGGAGTAAGACTAGAAAGAAAGAAGGTGAAATGAATGAAGGCTCCAAAGGGAAGAAATCTTAAACTACTGAAGTATTTTTAAAACCTGTCTTTTAATAAAATACTCAGAGAAGATTTTGAAAAATCACTAAAAGAAGCCCCATAAAGTAGCTTTTTGTAAAACAAAGGGTAGAGGACCTTGGAAAATTGACTCACAAGAATGGCGAGCTTGTGGGAGCTAAAAGGAATTCACTAAAATCATTGCTGTCTCAGAAAGAATCCTTTCTGAATAACAGTGAGGTACTGAACATTTTTCTGTGCTGTAACTTATTGCTATGGCAAAAGGAAGAGAGAATGAGGTCAACAATGATGATCTTCAAAACCAAGTTCTTCTGTATCAAACTTCTTTCTCTAACAAAATGATGTGTCTCAAAACGTCTAAAGGCTAAGCAACAGGAGCCAACAATAGCACCGGGGATTGTAAAGGTTAAGTTGGTTTAGCCAGATTTAACTGCTTTAATTTTTTTTTAAATGAACAGTCAAAGAAAGTCAAACTCAATATTGGTCTGACTATTTTGTGTGTTCTGACAGCTAGCATGTTGGCAGTGTATTACATAAATAAGCAAAGCAGTTGGGCTCTGAAACTGGTGCTGCCAGTATGATCACTTGACAGCCCTCTATCTACTAGGAACCAAAAACAAATAGTCAGATTTCCTGAGTTGCCTCTGTCCCCACAAGCATCTCTGCAAAATCCACTTCATCTTGGAGAATCACCCATAGCCGTGGTGCAGAGCAAGGAGCCAGTCCTTGTTTTTAACTGATCACATTTAGCCCATTATTTGTCAGAACTGAACACTGCTCCCTCCCAAGCCTGCATGCTAACACAAACCCAACAGTCACTGCTAACATTTTTTGGAGTGGTGAGCTGGGTAAAGAGTGGGTGGAGAAGTGAAGTTTGAGAGGGTGAAAGCATAGGGTGGTAAGAGTAAAATGTTGGTGTGGCAGAGGAAAGGTGGTTCAACTTTGTGTGTGTGTGTGTGTGTGTGTGTTAGGATTCCTACATGTGCAAAATAACAATTTAATTGTGCAGTGTTGGGAATTGTGGGTATTTGTGACCTGCTCCTAGATCCCCACACATCATCAGCCCATTGGCACATTTTATCTTCTATTTACTGCTGAATTTCTAAATGCAGCAAAACATTATTTCCAGAAATGTCTTCAGCTCTCAGTCTGACCTTACCCTTTGCCAAACAAAGGACAAGTGGCTGAATCTGAGCTTTCCTCTTTTACTTCCACATGGGAGGATTTCCCAACAGAACAAGTAGGAAAGAGACAAGGCACAGAGATTCCTGTGTCACTTTTTCCAAATTTGTTTTGATTCCATTTGTTGAGCTCATTGTAACCGCTAGTCAGGTGCCCTGGGTTGAGAGCTGCAGATGCAGAAGTGGCCTCAGGTAATGTTTTGTGTGAACATTTCCTTTCACGTTTAGGCTCATGAAAGTCTTATTGATGGCCATTTCCCTGCACCAGAGGAGACACTGCAGCACCTGGCAGCCCTGCGGCTGCAGTACCTTCATGGAGACTATTCCAAAATCACCTGGATCCTGGATGGCATTTACCCAGTGAACCGGCTAAAATCCAAAATCCTGCATTCAACTAAGAGCAGCGGCACTACCAGTCACATGCTGGAGAGGAGACGGACCAGCTTTCTGGAAGGGACATTGAAACGGGGTTTCAAGACAGGCTCAGTCAAGAAGCAGAAGGTGGAAGAAGAGCAGATGATGGAGATGTGGGTGAAGGAGGAGCTCTCAGCTGCTCGGACAAGCATTGCGCAGAAATGGAGCAAGCTTCAGGGACTGTCTCAACACCAGGCCATGGTGAAATACATGTCCATTGTAAAGGAATGGCCCGGCTATGGGTCGACCCTCTTTGATGTGGAGGTGAGAAATATGTAAATGTAGGTAACAATTGCTGTTCTAGCGGGCATTCATTTGGAAAACCAAGACAGTTATGGGGAGTTTCACTGCTTGGGTAGCATAGGGGAGTTTCTGGGAACTTTGCTGCCTTCTGCTTGACTGAGCCGGGAATAATTTGGCTGTCTGAGTGTTTACAGTATCATACAGACAGTCAGGCAGCAGAAAACTCTGAAGCCAGGAGGAGACTGATTGACAGCCCAACCTTGTATTGTTTACCCCCCAAAACACAAAAACAAACACATCCCTACATCTGTCTGGCTACTCAGGACTAGTACAGATACAACACAGATTCTCACCTTTATCAACTGGGGAGACCCAAGAGTGGGAGGAGGGTGGCATGCAGACTGGCAGCGGATCTTGAATATGCAAATTTCCTTCCGGCTTGTATCCTATATTTATACATGGCTTGATTAGATATTTTAATACACTTTCTCTGATTTGTTTTATTTTCATTTCCTTAACTGGAATGTTTGGAACTGGACTGACCCAGTTTTCTCAGGGACTAGAAAGATGTCAATTAGTTGGGATCTATATCCTTGGGAATGCTACTTGCCACCATCTTGTTTTCTCTTCACCTTAGTTTATCGTCTTCATTTTCAAGGCTGATTTGTTTTGACAATTTATTTAAGGAACTTATCAGAAACAAATCTGTTATAGCAAAATGACATCTACTACATTTAGTTACATCTGTCATTTCATTATTACTACATTAAGATAAGACTGTGATGTATTTTCTATGGATTATCTAATTTAAGGTCATCTTTTATAATGTCTCCTTTCAGGCCTTGTGCTCTGGTTAATTGAATCTCATTACTGGTTGGACTCAACATGTTGATGGCTTCCTTTAGTTTGCTGACCAAGATAGTTGTTACATCTGCTGCAAAGGTTCACTCTGCTGTTGCTCAGAAACAGGCTTTGGAGTCTTCTGCTTTAGTCATATTTCTGCAGTTTGGCCTAGCTACCTTGAAAACAGTCAAGGCTGGCAACAAGGGGAAGATCCTGCTCCATCTGCTAGGCAGCCAGTAGTCTTAGGTGTCCAAGTGCAATCCTATTCTATCTTGAGTCCCTGAAAATCCATTAATACATTTAGTCTAGTCTTGTAACATGCTGCCATCATAGCCTTAAAAGTGAGGTGCATAAAACAGCGAGGAGGACCAGTCGCCCTTGTATTAGTAGCATTTCAGGGACCAGGCAAGGTGGAACAGAAATGCACTTGGGTGCCTCAGTCCATCCGCTGCCTAATAGGTGGAACAGGATGTAACCCTGCATGGAAAGGATGTGGGCACACCCATTTTGGAAGAGTGGCAAACTCCCAAATGCCTTTTCTGGCCTGTGCAGATAGTAAGAGGAAAAGTCAAGGCACCAAACTGAGAGCCAAATAACACTCCATTGCCTTTGATGAAAAGGCTCCTAACATTTCTGCCACAGCGAAATAGGAATGGAAATCACCCCAGAGGAGGCTTTTAATACATGTTGGTGCATGGAATCAGAGCAGGGCTGTAAAAGTTTACCTGAGTTCTGTTCCCAGCTTTGCCATCAGGAAAGTCAAGCTCCTGTTTCCTGACTCACTTTTCATAGATTTCATAGACATTAGGGCTGGAAGGGACCTTGGAAAATCATTAAGTCCAGCCCCCTGCCCCAGGATCCCAGCAAGATAAATATCCAATTGACTCTTAAAGGTCCAGAGTAGGTGTCTATACCACCTCTGGTGGCAGTCTCTTCCAGACCTTGGGGCCTCAGACAGTAAAGAAGTTCTTCCTTATGTCCAGCCTGAAATGGTCTTGGAGGAGTTTGTGACCGTTTGACCTTGTCATCCCTTGGGGCACTCTGGTGAACAGGCGTTCCCCCAGATCCTGATGTGTATACCCCTTATATACTTATAGGCAGCCACCAGGTCCCCCCTGAGCCTGCGCTTTTCCAGGCTGAAGAGTCCCATGGCTCTCAATTTCTCATCATAAGGCCTGTTTTCCTGCCCTCCGATCATGAGCGTGGCTCTTCTCTGCCCTCTCTCAAGCTTCTCCACATCCTTTTTAAATTCTGGAGCCCAGAATTGGATGCAGTACTCCAGCTGCGGCCTCACCAAGGCCGAGTTTTTACAACCATTTTACAAACTTTCCCCATTTGTAAAATGAGGATGATGCTAGTGACCTTGTCAGTAATGCGCTCGAAGATCTGCTGATGCAAATTGCTGTATGAGAACTTGGTATTATAATTATTTATTATTTGGCTTAAATTTAACTCAGTAAACGCCCTCTGGTTTGTTTATGCTACAGTGTATTTTAAGGTGCTGCAGAATTCTCATGTTGCCATTGATTTTATGGCAGCAACAGTGCAGGAATTTGGGGATCTTTTAAGCAGCATTAAGCTGCGGTGTCACAATGCACTGGGAATGGGAATGCAGTATTGGCTGTGGAGGGTTTGTGGCTCTGCCCAGCAGAAGATGCTGCTGCTGCTGGCTTTTCCCCCTGCCCCCCCGGCCAGGTATCCTTACTCCAGTTTCTCCAAGCAGCATATGAGGTGAGCTAAGAGCCATTTCACTCTCACACCTTTTCAGCAAAGGATTTCTTACGCGGAAGCCCAGTTTCCCCAGCCAAGGAGAGGGCTGCTGTGTCCTGAGAAAGCAGGCTGCCAGGCCCGGCACTGTTTCTGATTTTTAAAATGTGCACATTGTAAGTGATTCACTTGATGAGGAGAATCCTTGTGCTAAACAAGAACCCACCTAGAAGGGTCACAGAATTAGATGGAAAAAATGAGAACTGGGAAGAAGGGGCTTGCTGAGGTTTGTTCTGCACTGCTCTTCACTCCTTGCCCCTCTGTTCACATGCCTCACTCTAATGCAGCAATGCACAACTGCACCTATGTTACCTTTCCCCTGGGGCACTGCTTTTAACATGTGTTTTATGTTCTCTGCAGTGTAAGGAGGGTGGATTTCCAAACGATCTCTGGCTTGGAGTCAGCACAGAGAATGTGTCCGTGTACAAACGAGGGGACCCTAAACCACTGGAAACTTTTCAGTATGAGCACATTGTTTTCTTTGGTGCTCCACAGCCCAACACCTTCAAGATCATGGTGGATGAGAGAGAGATGTTCTTCGAGACCTCCCAGGTATGTGTAAACTGTAACCAACCTGATTCTTTATTACCTTCGCTTGTAGTTGAGTATTTGTGTGACTGCCATCTTGCTGACTTGGATCACAATTAGCTCAGATGAAACTTTCGTTTATTGGACCCTGAGAGACTTAAAGCAGCCGAAGTACAAAGGAGAATTCCTCTTAAAAACAGGGACCAAAGCCTCTTGCACCCAGCCATGAGAAAGGAGTCACCCCAGCGGTAAATAGATTAGGATCACCACATCTGGTAGCTAGGAAGGTGAGATGAAAGACAGGTCGTATCAAGATCAGCTAATGCCCCTCAGCCAAAATGCAATTCATGGCCCAGATTGTGGCCCTTTAACACCCAAGTTCTGGTTGTTCACCTTA